GGAAGCGGTGAGCAGCTCCTTCTCCAGAGAGGTGGACTGTGCATCCCAACTCCAACAGCTTCACTTGTCTGAAGCTACGGATGGGTCGGGTTCCCTGAATACACATCCTCCGGTCAACGAGGGAATGGGAATGGCAACGTCTGGTTCAGCTCCTGTGTTCCAGCCCTTTTACATTAGTGTTGTGGATGAGGAAGACTACACTGGTTTCCTCGATACGGATCATGCAGATAAGCTATTGAGGGAGTATCAGCAGAGAGAGGGTGTTGATTTGAAACAGTTGATGTCGGAAAGGTGAGAACAGGTCTGGATTTCATGCTGAAACTGAAGGGATTGTGTAGTTCCCTGTATGCTGTTTGATAATCTAAATCTGACTCTCACTGAGTCGGAATGGTTTTTGTTTGTAACTGCGTCCTTCAGGGATCGTTGGTGTGTAGTACTTTGCTGGAAGAACATAACAATGCACCCAGTTCTGTCAAATTTTGAGTTATTCAGAGATGCATCTATTTCTGAGAGACTGAGCAGTTGGAGTGTCCTTGGGCTCCACATAGAGCAGTGGACTGTCAGTCTCTGAAACCAAACCAGTGTGGTTTAAACGATATCTTAAGCTAAATGGCATAAGATTCTATTGTAACTTTTAACTTTTTTTTCTTTACAAGGCTAAACCTTTTCTTATATTCCAGTTGCATTTTTAAGGGTTTAATTACTTAGGGATTTTGACTAGAGACTGGGATGATGGTAAGACTCCCAAAGATTTTGTAAAGGTTGTCTGAAAAACAATTTTTGAATATAGTTACTGAAAATATAATCAGTATTAATTTAGGTGATCACAGTGAGCACTTATAACCAGCCCATTTCTCTTTTGATTATATTAACATGTACAGTGACTTTTCCTGAATTGTGGACAACATTGAATTTTTTGATAACTAAAGCTACTCTCAATTGCAGAATCTGCATAGAGTGCTTTTTAGTAGCTGTGTTCCTGTTGAGTTTTGTTGACCTTTGTAGAATCATAGAACTTTAATTACACTTAATTCAAAATTTAAAAAGACAACATCATAATTTAAAACCAAGAAAATCTTCTGAGAAGTTACTATAAGAATTATTTTTTTTTTTTAAGTAGTAAGCTGGTATCTGGTGGATTTGAATCTCATTTGGTAGTTTGAACCACTGTTAGTAATTGTAAGCCACCAGAAACTGAAGAACCAGAAGCACAATGTTCACTTGCAACCTCTAACAGGAATTGCCTCTTAATTTAACATGTATAGTTTTTTTCAGTGTACTTAGTATAATTTAATGTGAATGTATAGTAACGATCGCTTATTTAAAGCATGCGTATTGTACTGAAAACCTTATGGGAAATCTTGTTTCTTTTCTTGTTTTCTTATAGTTTTGCAGGTGAAGGTAATAATGAAAAATATGAGAAGAGTGAAGTCAAAGGCAGGGACCACACATTCCATAAATTTATGAAAAGGATATCTGTGTGTCCTGAACAGATTCTAAGGTATGTTGATCAACTAGTTGTAACAGGGAGGTACGGAGCACAGACATGGATTGTTAGTACATCAAAATAAACCCTTTCATGGGAAATAGATGTATATTTTTGTTTCTTAATAATAAAAAAAAAAATTGCTAAGAGGGCTGTTGCCATGCCCGTGCGGTCAGACTTGGGTCCCTGCTTGGGCTTTTTTATACAAAGTGTGAGTAGATTAGAAGCAAAGCAGGATCAGAGGCCCCATGTCTGGCTGTGGAAGACTTCCTTACCTAGACTGTCTTTGAAGGCTTGCTGAAATCCAGGCATAGAGGTTTTCCAGAGACAGTTTTGAAGTGATTCCGTGATTCCATGGGGTGGAAGTGTATTACAGAGGGGTATGCTGTTGTGATAGATTTCCAAGGCTATCTGCCCCTCTGAAATTTTGTAACCTTACTGTCACTGCTTATGTCTCAGTCCTTGAGATGGTACTGAAGTAAGAAATTACCCGTTCTAAAGCCTGAGTTCTTCTGCAGGTTATTGTGATTATCCCTCGGGATTTGCAGTCTTCAGTTCTGGTACATCTGTTGCTTTTCCTAGAACAAAGGGAGATTTCATCTCAGAGCAGCTGCTTTCCCAAAAGAGGAGTTAATTCTGAATGAAAGTATAGCAAAGAGTTCATAAATTATTCATAGTACCAGGTAATACACATGGTTTTCATGGATCGTACCAAGTGTTAGCTTTTAACGTCTTTGTTCTAGAGAGTCGAGTGCAGCCTATCTGGTCAAACTGGCTCAGTGTAGGGACAGGACCTTTGTTGATCAAGTTTCCAGAACTTGGTGGAACTAACTGGTACCTTTTTGATGAGGAGGTAAAGCCTGAGGGGATGGTTACAGAAATAAGGAACGTTAGAAACCTTCGTTACTTATCTATCAAAGGTTATACAGAAAATGCACTACTGCAGAGTGCAAGTAACATTTTCAGGCAACTTTTTTTCCCTGGATCTGTTACTTTGCAGTATTATGCTCTTTGAATTTTCCCTTCTAAACCATCACCTCTGATAATCCCTATGACTATCACAATCTTTACATAGCCCTCCCTTTCCCCCTCATAGGTGTTGCGAGATGTGTGTTAGACACCCATTTCTCCTGGGCTGCCAGATCTCCAGTGAACTTTCAAGCACAGCACAGAATCCCTTGGTTTGCATTCAGTAGAAACCATCTTTGATCTTGGTTTCCTGTTAGTTGTGGAGCTTTAATAGCTCTTAAAAATAAAATATCAATTCTGTGGCATAACTACAGGCATTCAGTGGAAACCATCTTCGATCTTGGTTTCCTGTTGTGGAGCTTTAATAGCTCTTATAAAAAAAATATCAATTCTGTGGCATAACTACAGTGGTTTTGAGACCTATTCTGTGTTGAACATCTTTAACTGCCACTGGTTAGGATTCCATTTTTCAGGAAAGTGTCGTTCGCCTAAGTAAATGAGTCTGGTACAGCATATTTTGGCGGTGTCAATTCAAAGCATTTGTCTCATTTAAATCCAGCTCTTTCCTTAAGACTTCCTGAGTGTTGACCTTGCAAGTATTTCCCCCTCCCCATCTTTATTCTTTGTTTAATGACTGTCTGAAGCTTAGGCGATGATTCTGGCTTATAACAGTGTTGTTTACTTCGAGCAAGTTCAGAGGTTTCAAAGAATCATGAACACTGTTGGCAACATGTAAGTTTTCCCATGAAATTTAGACACAAAAAATTCCTTTTTTCCTTTCTTCTCTTAGATACTCCTGGGGTGGCCAGCCTTTATTCATAACGTGTCCTCCAGCCAACATTGACAAAGGTATTCCAGCCTGCGGTAACTGTGGAAGCAGCAGGATATTTGAATTTCAACTCATGCCAGCGCTGGTCAGCATGCTCCAGAGTGATTCAGGTGTCGACCTTTGATTTAGCTGAATGAATACTAGAAACAGTCACCTTCTTGGTAAAGCTTAGTGAACTGCGCTTTGGATTGTTTCTTGCCAGCCACACACGTGGTTAACTGCAGTGATCATCTTCTATAGAATCCACTCTGTTTCCATTATAGATTGTCACTAAGCAAAAGATACAACTCTGGTTTATGAAGACTCTGTGATTGCAACTTTATTTGCTCACTAGTGAACTTTAATAATGGCAAAATAGATAATTCCATGACCTTGGGAGTGATTTGTCTTTATTGCCTCTTAAGTGGGGCCTTGGAAAATAATAAATATTGTCAGATAAGACTGCAGACACTTAAGAAGCCCTATGAAAATTCTAAGTCAGCTTGCTTTAAAATCTTTAAAATTAGAAAATGCTATGTACATAGGAGACTGAATATGAAAAATATTTTCTGAATTGGCAAAGATTGAAGTATAGCAGTAAGCAATAGCCTCCACTTACAGCATTTTTCATACCTTTATGTTACAATCCTTTATTGTTTTGATTTCAGATCTGTCAGTGGAATTTGGAACCGCTGTAGTTTATACATGTGAGAGAAGCTGCTGGCCAACAAATCATCAAACCCCTCTTGAAGAATTTGTTTTTGTACAAGAAGACCCAGATCAGAGATTATTTAAATAAATTGTGTTTCTCTATGTAGATGGAAAGTCTGTTGGCTTCTTTTTTTTTTTTTTACTACAGGTGAAAGTGTGTAATTATGCAACGGAATTTTCCTCAGATGTGGTGAAAAATTAAATTTGTTTGATGACGTGTTTATTTCCAAGAATAATTGGTTGAAGTATGAATTAGCGTGCCTCTAAAATGCAGCGACAGAAAACTTGCATAATTTGGTTACACATGGAAATTTAAGTGTAGAGATTGGTTCATGATGCTAGATACACTTAACTGGGGAGGAAGGTAAAGGAGAAAGGTTGCCTTACTGCACTTGGTTGTACTGTTGGCATTCATCAGCCAAACAGGATGCAGTTTTCAGAAACTATCAGCAGTGAAGAACTTAACGTAAGCATGATTTTAAAAACCAAATCTGCTTTGTTTTGACCACAGACTGGAAATTCAGTGGGCAGTGTCTGAGAGGACTGTGCTGCCACGACAGCCTTCCCGTGATGAGGTGTTTTTGTGATTCCAGTTAATTTGCTCGGTTAAATGGGCTCCGACGGGTGCGGTGCTGTGGGTGGGGATGTGGTGGGGGTTTGTAAGCGCTTTTATTCTCACAGGTACGGAGTGATGGGTAAGTGCTGCACCAGTCTCTGTACCACAGCCCACTGCTCGAAATAGTGCTGCTTTAGTTAAAACACTCTTAAATTTCTCTGTGGTGGTCTTGGTTGGTTTAGGCTAAATTGCAGTATTTTAATTGACTTAATGGAGGGGTAATTCAAGTAAGTGTCCTTAAAGCTTTTTTCTACAGGTTTAATGCTGCAGCATAAATTAACACACTACAAGTGTGGGTTTAAAAAAAAAAAAAAAAGGTGGGGGAGGCTAAAATGATGGAATGTGTTTGCAAAACAACTTTTTTAGGGCAGAATTGTGGCTTACTGCGCCAGCTTGTAGAGACGAGTCAGTTACCGTACACAGCAGTCCCACCTTAGGCCAGGAACGCTGCCGGAGCCCCCCGCGGGAGCTCGGCCTGCGCTTTCCCCCACCTGGGCGAGCGGGGCCGCCGGTTGTGGGCCGAGCCCCGGCTGCCCCGAGAGGCGAGGGCCAGAGCACCCGGTGCCGGGCGGCGGCAGCGGGGCTCGAACCGGCGCTCCGGGCCTCCCGCCTGGGCGGTGAGCCGGAGCGGGCGGCGGGAGCCGGGAAAGGGCGGTCTTCCTTCCCTTCCCGGAGGTCGGGCCGCCTTCCCGGGGCAGCGGCGGGGGTCCCCCCGGGGGCGGGGGGGCCCGCCGTTTGTGGGCCGAGCCCCGGCTGCCCCGAGAGGCGAGGGCCAGAGCACCCGGTGCCGGGCGGCGGCAGCGGGGCTCGAACCGGCGCTCCGGGCCTCCCGCCTGGGCGGTGAGCCGGAGCGGGCGGCGGGAGCCGGGAAAGGGCGGTCTTCCTTCCCTTCCCGGAGGTCGGGCCGCCTTCCCGGGGCAGCGGCGGGGGTCCCCCCGGGGGCGGGGGGGCCCGCCGTTTGTGGGCCGAGCCCCGGCTGCCCCGAGAGGCGAGGGCCAGAGCACCCGGTGCCGGGCGGCGGCAGCGGGGCTCGAACCGGCGCTCCGGGCCTCCCGCCTGGGCGGTGAGCCGGAGCGGGCGGCGGGAGCCGGGAAAGGGCGGTCTTCCTTCCCTTCCCGGAGGTCGGGCCGCCTTCCCGGGGCAGCGGCGGTGTCCCGCCGGGGCTCGGGGGAGGGGCGGCAGCGCCTCTCGGGGAGCCCGTGGATGAAACGGTGTGCCATGTTTGCCGCCCTGCCGGTGCACGGGAAAGGCTTCGTTTTGCCTGATGCTGTGGGTGATGGTCCGGTGATGGATTGCAGCGAAAAACAAAATACGTGGGAAGCGAACCGTGTTTTTAGATACCGAGTTGTAAAACTGTCAGTCTTGGAAGTCCGGTCACGATAGTTTCCCGCGGGCTGTTGCTTTCACTTTTGCTTCTTGATGCTAATCTCTGAATGTGTGTAGGAAGGGCAGAATTGAGAGGGTGGTCGGGAATAAGGGATAGAGAGAAATACTGTTAGCAAAACTCTGATTACCTGCTTTCCAGACCTTTATTAATTTCTTATCGTAGTTACAAAAACTACATGGTTTTAAGAAACCGTGGGAGTACAAGTCCAGCTAGAGCACAGGTCTGTTCCCTTGAATACGTTTTTACTTGTGTGTGCCTGGCCGGGAGTCACATCTGAGAGTTTTGTATGACTAGTTGTAAGTTTGTTTTTACAGACTTGTTGAGCAGAGCGTATTAGAAACAGCTTTTATCTGAAACTATCAGCTTGTAGAAGAGTACAGGTACTGGTTTGCCTTGTTATTCATAGAATTTAGGCCTGCCTACTTAAATAATTTTTAAAACTTGTAGGGTGTGCTTAAGTCTAATTCCAGATTGTCCCTTTGGTTTGAGTCTGCCACTGAGAGCCTATCCAGTTTTAACACAGTACTGGTGAAATAAACATACGTCGAAGAGTGGAAGCCTACATTTTCTGCACTGTTTTTTCCCTCGCCTTTTTTTTTTTCTGCCTTACTATGTCATTTGTGTACTCCTGCAGTCCATTATAATATAAAGAATTTAACATGTCCTGATTTTCCAGTTAGTTGTTAGGCATAAATCTCATTTGGGTATGCTTAGTGTTTCAGTTATTATAGTTTGATTTTTCTGTGTTGTCTTTCAAAGCCAACTTGGTTGGACTCTATTAACATAAGTACATGTTGGATCAGGGCTATCATTTTTTAAAAATATCATTGGCAGTGTTTTATGCAAGACAGTTAATTTTGATAGCATACAGAGTGGGTGGGCGAAAGAGGCGAGAGCAAAAAAGAGAATTGTTACACAAAGAGGAAGTTTGCTGTTAGGAGAATAAATTGCTTTTGTTAATGTTTGTGATATTGTTGAGAGTTTTCCTTGGTTATTAAATACTAACAAACTTGAGCACCTGAAAATGCTTTTTATTTTTATACATAAGTTGTAAGACATTCTTTTAAATCAAAATATTAATACTGAAAAAAAAATCTAGTCATTTTGGATAGGAGACGACTCACAAATACGTGATTTCATTAAATATACTTTGTTGAAAGGCAGTGCCATTGTCCTTATGAATGAAGAACAAAAGTTACTAAAAATCCAAGTCTGAATTAAGAACGTGAATATATATTCTTATGAAGTTCTGAGGCCTTTCCTTCTAACTTACAAAAATGGAAGCAGTGTAAAAGTTACTTAAGTAAGAGAACTGTTAAATTCTTATCATTCTTAGCTAGATTGAAGCTTCTGTTCAGGTCTAATGGTCTCAAGTATTCTCTTTGGAGAAAAACTTACTTTGCTTCTTCTGATCTTGGTAATATTGTTTTCAGTTGTAGCTTATGTCACTTGTTACCATCTCCAGTTAAAATACTAAAAGCTTTCTGGGTAGTGGACGTTTTAATGGAATTTTGAACTTAATCATTTTCTCTTGAGGTTCTCGGGCTTTTGGGCTTTGGACTAAGCTTTCCCAGTGTGTCTTATGAGAAAGGAAAGGAGACAGAAATGTGTTTTCATGCAAATACATTTTCATTAAAAGATACAAGACAATGGGTAGTTACTAGCATACTATGGGTAATAAAGATTAACAGTCTCTGTTTTAGAATACATTTTTAAAATATTGTACATTTTTTGGTTTGCTCTATATCCACAGGTGCTTTTATTTAGTGTTTAAATAAAACTCTTTAGCTATAACAGTTCTTAGTATATTAAAACTTAATCTTTAAATTAAGAATATTTCCTTCAGAAAAGGGGAAGTTTAATCTTGGAGCTTGGATCTTGCATGCAAAGGATCTGTAATGAGAAGTATGTGGCATACTTTTTTTGTTATTCAAGTTTGGTTAATAAAATTGAAAGCGTATGGGAACACCCTCAGTGGGTTATGTTTAAACTTCACGGTGAACAGTCAGTCCAGTAGTACTCTCCGTATAGTTGAAAGCATTACTGTGTTGAGTATACCAGCATTATCTATGGGAATTTGGGAGAAATATCTATTGAGAAAAATTATATGAACTACCTGAAAAATTGTCTTCCTCCCCTCGTAGTTAAAAATGTTAGGGACAGGAGAGCACTTCTAAAAAGAGTGGTTGATCAGAGAAACTGTTAATTAAAGAAAAAGTAGTGCCAACAAAGGTAGGAATAAATCTTCTCAAAGTACTAATTAAATGTTCTTAGTTCTTGTGGTGGGGGGTAAAGACATTTGAAATTATGGTGCTCGTGTGCATATATTAATAAATAGAAACATGGCTGTTAGGGGAATTACAGTCATGGCATCCTTTGAGGTTGTACATCACAGGTGTTCTGTGGAATAGGATTTTAAACATCTTGATTGCATTATTGGATTTTTTTTTGTAAGTATACTTCATAATTTTTTTAATATGCACTTAAGCAGTTAGTCCTGGTGACAAACAGTAAAAGCTTTTGCCCTGCAGTGTATGAATTAGTAAACAGAGGGCTGCATTGTCATCTGATTCAATTGCTCAAAGCCATGTTCAAATACGAAGTAGAAGTACTAATTAGCTCGCTGAGAGCCTTTCTTGGACCTTGGGGAAGTGTGATACAGAGCCAGCATTCAGGGTGGTTAGTCCCACGTAGAGTCTGACGGGACCTAGCTAGACCGATTTCTGCAGTATCTCCTCTGAGTCTCTACACTGTGCTCCTGAGGAATTCTCACCAAAATCTTTATCCTACGGTAAATAGGACAATCAGTTATTGACTTTCTACAAACTATTGTGTATATGCGTCTCAAAATTCATGTGCAGTTTTAGTAGGGACTCTTTCTTCACTAAGTTTGTTGTCACGTAGCCCATAATTTTGGACAATATGGACATAATGGACATATGTTAGTAATTATTTAAAATGTATGGATTCCTGAAGACAATTACGTGATCCCTTGTGCCTCTACAGTTGCTATAGGGCAGTTGTATCACCTATAAGCAGGTCTGCAAAGTTTATGCATTTTGGTTAATCGCATCTGGTTCAAACTCTGTTAATGATTCTGTTCCCTTTATTTCTGTAAAAGTGAAATGACTGTCTCTTGTGTGTTTGTAGATTGATTTGGATACTATTGATGTCAGCAATCTCAACAGGCAGTTTTTGTTTCAAAAGAAACATGTTGGAAGATCAAAATCACAGGTGAGGGGAAAAAGTCAAAGCTCAAGTCTCACTTAGTGTTATTTTATGGACAGTGTTAGAAACACGTCACAATTTTGTTTCTGCTGAGAAGAGGTAAGTGTTGGTTGATTGATCATGGCGATCCACGACATTTCATTATAAAAGTATTTAAATCTCTTAAGGTAGTCAACTTACTCGATACTCAACTGGTATTGAGTCTGTCTTTAGAAGGAAGGAAGAAATAATAAGTGGTTTTTTGTTTTTGTTTTTTTTATTTCTAGGTTGCCAAGGAAAGCGTGTTACAGTTTTATCCAGAAGCTAATATTATAGCTTACCATGATAGCATCATGAAGTATGTTTGTTTTTAAGCTCTAACTACATGTTTTGATTTGAAAATACTGTGTTACTTAAATGCTACAATGGTGTGCTTTAAGATACTTTACAAAGCTACTGCAGTAAGGAGAAATAGCTGTAAATATGAGACTTCCACACACCTGAGTGTGGATTTTGCATGGGTTTTCTTAAGCTCCAGTAGTAAGCTGTAGCCATTTGCTTGTGTCTATTTTTCATTTTATTAGCAACATTTACTGTATAAGTTTCTGCACTGTAAGGATGCCCTGATGTCTTGAGCAATAGTTAGATTAAAATAAATGTGAATGTTGAGTCCATGATTAAAAACGCAAAGTGCTTTTTTTGTGTGTAGGTAACCGGGTATCATTTATGTATGCCCAAAACTGTTAAAATTTAGTCTTTATGATCCGTAACCAATGAGTACAAGACTATGTAGATTTTCATTAGCTGTTTCCTATGTTTTAATTTGTATTTGTCCAGTTTCTTAAAAATTGATATTCCGTAATATTAAGTTTTGAACTCTGATGTTGCTGTTAGCCGCTGACACACTGACTGAGTGCATCCTTCTCCTGAAACTGTAAAACCATTAATTCTGTTTCCTCTTTACTCTCTCCTCTTTGCCACCTTCTTCTTTAAATCAGAAAAACACAATGTAAAGATACCAAAGTGTCAGGATCTTAAAATCCCGTGTCTTGGCTCCTAAGGGTATGAAGGCATGCTCAAAGCCAATTGAGCTATTGCAGTATAATGAATTATCAACAGTCTGATGAGCTATGGTAATTACAGTGTGCATATTTCAGCCTCAGCTGATGGTTTTTAAGGTCAGTTACCATAGCTCAGCCAATTTACTCATTAGGTCAGAGCAGTTTAATCACTTTTTCATTGTCTGCCTGTTTCATTGGTCAAATTAGCACTAATTGCAATAGCTTCCTTCCAGCAGCATAAAATTCATGCTTCCACCCAGCTTTAAAATGGGCAGAAGACAAATGGGGCAGTTAAAGGCTAGCAGTAAATTTATAATATGTATAATTTATCACACAAACGTCAGTCCACCCTTTGCATGTGTATAGTTTCTGTTGTGGCATAGTAACCAACAAATTTGATATGCCATTTTGAGTATTGTTTTTCTTTTCTGTAGCCCTGACTATAACGTAGAGTTCTTCCGCCAGTTTACGTTGGTTATGAATGCTCTGGATAACAGAGGTGAAGTTTTCACTATGATTTTATACTGGAGATTAAATACTGTTGCTTGTTCATAGAAACAGAACT